AGAGGAAGGACGACAGTTTGAGTAGAAGAAAAAGGTGTAAGAAGGAGAAAGATGGGAAAGGATGGCGAGATGGAGCAAAGAAAGATGGAGGACAAGTTTTTTTGTGTAAATATGTCAACAACCGTAATCCCAAAATGTGAGAGGAGGAGGTGCAGGTTTGAAAGAGGGGAGGGGAAAGCATTGAATGAGGGATGATATGGACTGAGACGGGGAGGGATGGAGGAAGAGAAAGCGGGCGCTCGATACACTCAGATGTTTCTCTCTTGGCCATCTTGTAGCGGGAGCTCCTCATCACAGGCGAGACGGAGCCTGCATCGTGTAAGAAAAAGATAACGCAGCGAATTTAATCCCAAACTCTACTGCATCTCATAATGTGCTGCACATTCGGTATCAAAAACGGGTTGCCTGGCTGCCGCTCGGGGTCTACATCCACAAATGGGAAACAGGCAGGAAAAGCAATATGTTTTAATGAGCCCGGGTACCACAGAGAGAAACTGCATTTCTCTGGGTCCCAAGCTGAAAATATATATATGAATCCCTGCTAACAGCCCTCGTCTGACACTCGTATTACATGGAGGCCTGAAAATTAACATGCTAAGCAAACACACACACACACACACACACTTCCTGTTACCTCCATGGGAAGCTGAGTCGACTGCAGCGCGAGCAGAAAGCCCTTGGCAGGCGGCTCCGGATGATGTAGGGCCTTGTAATGAATTTGATTTCATCCTGCCATTTCAGGCAATAAACATACAGGTTTAAGATGCATGGGGTCGTAAATTTTAACCGTGGCACTCTATTCAGCCGTGTGTGTGAATATTGGTTGGTGAGTGGTGTGACATGATCACGGTTTGCGCAAGAGGATTGTCTGTGTGTGTGTGTGTGTGTGTGTGTGTGTGTGTGTGTGTGTGTGTGTGTGTGTGTGTGTGTGTGTGTGTGTGTGTGTGTGTGTGTGTGTGTGTGTGTGTGTGTGTGTGTGTGTGTGTGTGTGTGTGATGAGGTCCTTGACATATTAAACTGTGTCACCAGGGCCAACATGTCTCATCTATTATGAAGCAGAGCTATTCTTGGTACACATGCAGTTGACTGGAAAATTCTCCAATCAAATCCAAGCTGCTTTGTCGTATTTAAAGAAAGGTTGTTTTTTTATTCTGCGTTTTATAACACTGGTGGAAATCCAGCATCCATAAATAATTCACATGCAGCAGTTTGCACTAAGCCACACTCCCGATTCAGAAGGATTGCATATTAGTCTCACTGCACTGCACACATTCCTTTCTATTATCGTCAATAACCATAAAACAAAAGCCCAGACTAAACAGCTTCTGATACTCCGTCTGGTTTCACTTTTCACTGAATTTTAAATCATTTAGCAGACCTTTTTATAGGCAGTATTGAATCAAAGCCCATCATTCTGTATTATCTCTTCTCCTGGTTACGATGAGTGTAAACATTAGTAACAGACTCAACAGAAATGTTCAGGATCTGTTGAAATTAAACAAAATATGATGCTGTTGGAGAAAATCATAAATGATGTTGATACACAGATTTAGAGTGCATGCGTATATATTTAATTAACAGAAAACATCCCCTAACCTGCCCTCACTTATTGCATCACTTATCACTTTGGTTTATAAAATCAGGTGTCCAACTACTTCATACAATACAGATATTTAAAATAAGAAATAATGAAAGTAGCCTTGATGAAAACCAAAGAGAGAATTATACGTCCACCTAAAATGTATCGATCTTTATAATAAAATGTATGGTAACATTATAATCCTGCTATTAATATAATCTTTTCTTT